TATATATATATCTTTGGGTCGGGTCAAATAAGGTATAAGTAGGGATGGGCATGGGACCCGAACCGAAGGGTTCCGACCAGACCCGATCAAGTCGTTTTTTTAAAATCGGTTTTGGGTCGGGCCGGGTTGTTTTTTTTAAAGGTGATGTTCGGGTCGGGTCGGATTCGAGTTTAGGGTGAAAAATACTCAACCCGAAAAAATATATAATTTTACCTTATATATTTAGGAATAATTACAATAATACTCCTTTATATATATTTCAATTAAATCACTATTTTTATTGAATAAAAATAATATTTTTTATTATTTCAGTTCAGATCGGATTCGAATTTTATCTTAAAAAATCAAGTCGGGTTCGGGTCTGGTGGCGTGTATTTTTTGGGTCGGGTCAAGTCGGTAAAAGATGTAAAATTTTTGGGTTGGGTTGGCCGAAACCTGACCCATACCTATCCCTAGGTATAAGATATATAATTTTTTTTTGATCTAATCAGATTCAAATAAAGAATATATATTTTTCAAGTCATATCGAATTAAAAAAAACCAGATCAGTTACAATCCCTAAATATAGTGGGCACCCAAATGGGCCATGATATCATGAGCTTTTTAATGGTTACCACAAGAAGTGGCCAGAGTGTGGATAAGTATGGCAAGGGTAAAAAAGGTTAGTAATGGATAATCTTGGACTTTAAATTTTATTTACTTGTCATAAACTAAATTATCAGTAATAATTAGATAATGGTACACCCAAAAATCTAAATAAAAACTAAAAAAAGTTATATAAAATCGTAATTGAAAAATAAATGGTAATATCCTATAACATTTTTTAAAATAATTATTTCAAATGAAATAAATTGATTGATTTAATTGATTAAGGAACTTTTAGTATTTTGAAAAAAAGAAATATCACAAAATTATTTTTCTATATAGCTACATCAATTTAAATTAAGTCGTTTCTCAATTAAATTATATTAGTTAATCATCAATTTAGTCAGATCTCAAATAATAATATAGATGCATAGATAAAAAAATATTTATTTTTCTGTCATATGAATCGATAATTATTTAATTAATTAATTTATTAATCATGCTCTATGAGCAATTAAGCAGATATATAGTAAAGGAAGTGAAATCAAAAGTATACAAACAAAATTCATTTTTAGTGCATCTTCCATCATTAGTTGGTGGAGCCTAAGAAACAAAGTAATGATAACATCACCCACTTTGTTTGTCATCCCAGTGGTAAAAATAAATAAATAAATAATTAAATATTATTTGTTTGTTTAAGATCTAATATGATTTGTTTTTGTTTTTGATAAATTTTAAATTTAATACTAATTTTTTGAAAAGAATAAAAAAAATAATAATCGATTCGATTATTCGATTAAATATGTTTGTTCGTATTATAATTGTTAATCATTCTTATATGTACAAAAAATAATTTTATGAATCATATTTATATATTACGGTTAAACTTGAATGTGAAAAAATATTTATCTGAAATTTAACCTAAATTTTAAACCAAAAGCCGATCTATATTCACTGACTCCATTACAATCATCCTAGATATAACATCATCCATGACATCAATTTCCACGTGGCAACATCGTAGCCATTGAAGGTCCATAACCCAGCATTCCAAAACCATATATTATCTTCCGGGAAATCCAATTTTCGGCCTTCTTTCCCAACGTTTTTCACATATTCTCCACCCACTTCATTTGCCATTCCTCTAGCAAATACACTACAAACAAGAGAGCTTTTAAGAGAGAGAGAGAGAGAGAGAGAGAGAGAGAGCAAAAAAGTAGATTAAAGTTGGATTATCATAGAGTTTTTCACGTAAAAACTTGTAGTTGATAGCCATTATGGAGCATGAAAGGTATCACATGATTAATTTCGAAGAGACGGAGTTGCGTTTAGGGTTGCCGGGAGGCAAGGGAAATGACGGCGAGGCGACCAAAAACAACGGCAAACGAGGGTTCTCGGAGACGGTTAACCTGAAGCTTAACCTATCAACAAAGGAGGCCGAAGGCGATGAGTCCGGGAAGATGAAGGAGAAGAGCTCTATTGCTCCTCGTTCGACTGACCCTGCAAAGCCTCCTGCAAAGTAAGCTACGATCAATTATTTTTTTCATTTTTAATGATGTAGCAAGAACAAATTAATATATTGTTTGTTATAGTTTTTTTTTAAATATTGTTGAACACTAATTTGAACTTGAAGAGGATGAGTCTTGATTGGATCTTGGCCTTGTAAAATGGAAAAGAAAAGTGTTTAATTTTGATACTTGATGGCTTGGATTGTTTGTCGGGGAAAACAACACAACATGTGGAATCTCTTAGTGCTTTTCCCACCAACCAAGCAATAATTCAAAAGATTTTCAACAGGAAAGTGGCCAAGAAAGTCTTACATTTTCATGCTCTTTCAGGGCACAAGTGGTGGGATGGCCACCGGTCAGGTCCTTCCGGAAGAACATCATGGCCGTCCAAAAAGCCAGTTCCGAGGAGGAGGGTGACGGCAAGAAGGCCGGCAACAGCATAGCCGCCGCCTTTGTTAAGGTCAGCATGGATGGTGCACCTTATCTACGCAAGGTGGACCTCAAACTTTACAAGAATTACCAACAACTCTCTGATGCCTTGAGCAAAATGTTCAGCTCCTTCACCATTGGTAATTGCCATAAACCCAAAATTAAATATAATATTAGCCATTGATAAACAGAAAACTGAGCATTATTATATGGGTTAATGATCTAGATAACTACGAGTCACAAGGAACGAAAGATTTCATGAACGAAAGCAAATTGATAGATCTTTTGAATGGTTCTAAGTATGTTCCTACCTATGAAGACAAAGATGGAGATTGGATGCTTGTTGGAGATGTTCCATGGGGGTAAGTTAATTCTTCAACTCCCAATTTTAATTAATAGTCACCTGATCTATCATTAATTTATCTTTTAAATTTTATAGGATGTTCGTCGAATTCTGCAAACGTTTACGAATAATGAAAGGATCTGAGGCGATTGGACTTGGTTAGTTCGATTTTTTAAATCCAAACTCAAAAATTATAATAATCGTAAACCGATAAAATTAGAGATTTTTGAATCACTCGAATGCTCCTACTGTCTTGATTTAGAGAGATGAAATTTATATGTAAAGAAGTTTATTTGATAAATGAAATTATTAATGCAGCACCAAGAGCAGTAGAGAAGTGCAAGAACAGATGCTGAAGTTGGTTCAACAACAACAAGAAGAAGAAACAAGATCAAAATTAATAAAAAAAAAGGAATATTATGAGGAATGTATTTGGAGAAATAATAGAAAAAATAAATGTTTTATTTTCAATTGTTTGTTTAATAATATCTTTAAAATATTAATGTTTTTGGTTGTCTGGGTGTTTTCTTTTCTTTTTGCACTCCATTCTGTAATATTTTGCATGTATGAAAAGATTTTCCGAAATTATTATATTTATTATTATTTTAATGAATTTTATAATATAATTGGTTGAGGAGACAGATGAACAAGATCCATGAATAAGGTGGAGCAAAGGCCATGTGCAATTTGTCGGGAATCATTTAAAGAATCAATTATTGCCATTTTTTAATTCATTTTCAGTGCTGGTACTGTGTATTTTTATTGCAATTTGTCATAGAATTTTTTGTTTTGTTTTGGGTGGTAAAAAAACTGGTATCTAATAATTAATCACTGCTGCTCGTGTCAGCATCGTCTCCAAGTGTGTTGCTATCATCCTGTTGAAGCAAGGGTTGCATCCCCGTTGGCGGTTGCTGTAGTATCTGCAGTCCTGGAGATTGGTGGTTTTCGAGCTTAGCCATGAAGTCGGCTGCCTGGTTTGTTTCTCTCGGTGTGTGGATAACTTGTATATTCCATTCATGATCAAGGAGGAGTTGCTGAATGCGTCTGGCAAGTGCTACTCGGTGTGTGGACCATATAATTTAAGGATGAATTTTAGTATTATGCCGAAAGTAATTGGATAGAACATAGGACCATATGCTTTATCTTTAGATGGGGGAAGATCATACGTATATAGGCATGTAAATGAATCGAACGAACACCAGTGATTGTATGTTCATATTTGTTTGTTTAATTTTAATTAGATAAATAAATGAATAAGAACAACTGAACGATTAGAATTTCTTGTCCGTGTTCGTTCATAAGAAATATAGCTTGTTCGTGTTTATTCATATTTGTTTGTTAAAATGATAAACGAACATACAAGAACGAACATAATATTAATTGGGTTTATATTTGAGAAGATTTTTTTCTTCTCAAATAATTTTAGGGTTTATATTTTCTTAATTGATTTAGGTATTTTTATTTGTGTTTAAAATTAATTAGATTTTAAAATATTAATAGGTTCAAGGTTAAAATTTATTAGGTCTTAATATTTTAAACTAGTCTGGAGACCGGGCTAAACAAAAATGAACATAAATAAATAAACATAAATGAACGAATTACCGAACGTTTACGAACGCAAATGAACGGACGGGCCCTTTGTTCGTGCTCGTTCATTTAATTAAACAGACATAAAATCTCATTCATGTTCGCCCATTTAATAAATAAACAAGCATAAACGAACAGATTACCAAATGTTCATGAACGTAAATGAATGAACGAGTCCTTTCTTTGTGCTCGTTCATTTAATAAAACGAACATAAAATCTTGTTCATATTCGTCCGTTTACTAAATAAACGGACGGTTGAACGTTGATTTCGTTTATAGGCGTACACATATACCCTTTTACTAAGGTAAAATGTAGCAAGGTTGTAGTCTTACACTCTTACTATCATTATTCGTAACTTTAGCCCTCATTGTTTTGATATTTATCGCAATTGACGTCCCATCGCATTTCCTTTGTATTTAAATTTTAAGTTTATTTTTAAAATTAATTAAATAGAAAATGAGCGAATAAAATTGGTCTTGAACGACACTAATCTTACACAAAATTGGAACGTAAGTAGATGAAACACATGAACAAAACTCCACCGTCTTTCTCTGTTTCTCATCAGTAATCATTTTACATGTGCCCTTTTTATTTTTAATGACATCTTTCAAAAAGAAACATTTTTCTCTCTGTCTCACTTTCCACACAGTTCACATGTACCGTAAATCCTTGAACACATTGTGCACACAGTTTCTCTACCTTCAAACTCATCATTCTCGAAATTCTCAGGTAAACTCTCATCCTCACCAAACTGCTAATTCCTCAACTGAACCGAACCTACATGAACATTACACCAACTCTTTGACATCGGAGACTCGAATTCCGACGTGAGCTATTACATTCTAAAAGGTTAAAGAACACATTGTGGCTGACCTTTACATCGTCTAGATAAGAGTTTGTTTTCGAACATACAGACTGATGAGGGCAAGGGTTATGGTCGATGTGAACTGTGGAAGAACAGTAAAAGGGTGATGTAAATAAGAAAGTAATTCTTTTTGGAAGGTTACTGTAAAAATTAAAAAAAAATGTGTGTAAAAAAGATTAACGGTGAGACACAAAGAAGAAGGGACATAGGATTTTTGTTTGAAAACAAATGAGCATTTTGATTCTCTCAGCAACAAGACTGCTTTACAGAACATGCCACAGCTTGGGCCCAGTGTCTTAGCTTCGTCTTCACTTGCTGAGGACTATCTCCTGTATATAAAAGATTTTATTATGAGAAAATCGCCTCAGTGACCAAAAATGCCTTATAATATACGATTTTAACCAACTTTTTTTTGATTTGCCAAAATGACCAACAAAATCGCAACGCGATATCAAAACCGCAACGCGATTTAGAAAAGCGCAACGTTGAAAAGAAGATCGCAACGCGATCTTCCAAGAATCGCAATCGCAATCATAAAATCGCAACGCGATCTTCCAAGAATCGCAACGCGATTCAGAAAATCGCAACGCGATTCAGAAAATCGCAACGCGATTCAGAAAATCGCAACGCGATTCAGAAAATCGCAACGCGATTCAGAAAATCGCAACGCGATTCAGAAAATCGCAACGCGATTCAGAAAATCGCAACGCGATTCAGAAAATCGCAACGCGATTCAGAAAATCGCAACGCGATTCAGAAAATCGCAACGCGATTCAGAAAATCGCAACGCGATCTTCCAAGAATCGCAACGCGATTAAGAAAATCGCAACGCGATTCCAAGAATCGCAACGCGATTCAGAAAATCGCAACGCGATTCCAAGAATCGCAACGCGATCTTCCAAGAATCGCAATGCGATTCATAAAATCGCAACGCGATCTTCCAAGAATCGCAACGCGATTCAGAAAATCGCAACGCGATTCAGAAAATCGCAACGCGATTTAGAAAATCGCAACGCGATCTTCCAAGAATCGCAACGCGATTAAGAAAATCGCAACGCGATTCCAAGAATCGCAACGCGATTCAGAAAATCGCAACGCGATTCCAAGAATCGCAACGCGATTAAGAAAATCGCAACGCGATCTTCCAAGAATCGCAACGCGATTAAGAAAATCGCAACGCGATTCAGTAATTCGACCACGACCACGACCACGACCCGACCCGAGACGAGACGGCGGCGGCGGCGGCGGCGCGCGAGAGTCCCCCTTGTTCTCTTTCACTCAACAAGGAAATGGGAAATCCAAGCCTTAAATACACTTCCCAATAGTGTTTCCAATACTATGTGGGATTGAGCATTACTCAACACTTCAAAGAAAATATAGCAATTTTTGTAGCATGTTTCCCGCTTAATCCATATTTAAAAATATTAAAACATTTTATCATATTAAAACTATATGTATAAGTTTGAATTGAAATGTAGATATCTACAACTCTTTTAATTCTCTTGATAAAATGTTTTAATATTTTTAGATATGGATTAAGTGGGAAAATACTACAAAAATTGCTATATTTTCTTTGAAGTGTTGAGTAATGCTCAATCCCACATAGTATTGGAAACACTATTGGGAAGTGTATTTAAGGCTTGGATTTCCCATTTACTTGTTGAGTGAAAGAGAACAAGGGGGACTCTCGCGCGCCGCCGCCGCCGCCGTCTCGTCTCGGGTCGGGTCGGGTCGGGTCGTGGTCGTGGTCGTGGTCGTGGTCGTGGTCGTGGTCGTGGTCGTGGTCGTGGTCGTGGTCGTACGTGTCTTCGACACGTCCGCGCGGATACTATCTTTTTAGAGAAAATTCTTAAGAAAGAAACAAATGCAACAACTTTTGAAAGAATTTACTCATTTTCTTAATCGCGTTGCGATTCTTGGAATCGCGTTGCGATTTTCTGAATCGCGTTGCGATTCTTGGAATCGCGTTGCGATTTTCTTAATCGCGTTGCGATTCTTGGAAGATCGCGTTGCGATTTTCTGAATCGCGTTGCGATTTTCTGAATCGCGTTGCGATTCTTGGAAGATCGCGTTGCGATTTTATGAATCGCATTGCGATTCTTGGAAGATCGTGTTGCGATCTTCTTTTCAACGTTGCGCTTTTCTAAATCGCGTTGCGGTTTTGATATCGCGTTGCGATTTTGTTGGTCATTTTGGCAAATCAAAAAAAAGTTGGTTAAAATCGTATATTATAAGGCATTTTTGGTCACTGAGGCGATTTTCTCTTTTATTATTTTGTAATTTCGATTTTATTTAGGGTAAACTATATGGATAGTTCCTTTTGTTTTCGGTCTATTCTGGTTGGTCACCAGTTTTTAAAAAGTTTATAGGTCGAATTAGAAATTAACAACTTCTGTTAACATATTATGTCAATAATCTAACAGAGGTTAACGTCCGAGTGATCAATATATTATAACCCGAAAAACGTTAGTGACCAAAACCAAATGTTTTCAAAACCAGTGACCAAGGAAAGGGACCATGAGTGCAATTTACCCTTTTATTTAGTATTTGTATTTAAGAATTACCCGGGCTGTAAATTTTCCAATCTGGCTCGTTTTTGGGGCTTTCGAGATACGGTGATCTGCAACCGACTGATGCTGATTGTGATGGTAATGGTGTTGATGAATAACTCTGGCTTTGAGGGGATGGAAGTGGAGAAAGGCAACGGTTTACAGCAAAATAAAGGTCTAAAGCAGGCAATGTGTTGCATAGTTTTTGATCTTCTTCTTCGTTGAATCCAAACCCTAATTCTATGCACCCTTTGAGCTCCTTCAAATCTTCATCCGTCAATCCGTTCTCGTTCGCGATCACCCCTTTCCTTCTTCTCTCCTGACGGAGAATCTGTCTCCGCCTTCTCTCCCAAGCAACCTCCCTAAACACACGAAACCGATAAGATTATGCAACAACCTCTCTACAACGAAAATAAACACGACGAACCTTGAGGTCTCTAGCATCGACATTTGCTTTTGTAGGAGTTTCTTGTCGATCATCAACGGCGGCGGCCGGTGTTTCGACGCACTACGTTTCGGAACTTTCGTTTCGGAGTCATGGAATGATGAGGATTTAACGGCCTTCTTCGTCGCCGCCGCCTCCGATCCGTCGTCCTTCATCGTCTTCTTTTCCGCAAAGCCTATGATTCAAAATAAAACACAAGAATTCCGCTGTCTAAACCTTAGAAGACATCGAATGATAACCTTTTCTTTTCATCTTTTCATTTTGATTCGAAATCAAAATGAAATACAAAAGAAAAGTTTATTATAGCCACGACAGCGGCCGAAGCTGGCTCGGCTTATCGATGATGGAAAGGTGAAGGATGAAGGGAGCAGTGTTGAAATCATGTATATATCGAAAAGGAACATCGGAAGAAAATGAGGCGGAGATGCTTTAATGGAGAAAGAAAAGGGTTGACATTCATTGGAGGGATTTGCATTTGTTATTCAACCATCCAAATGTAATATCTTCTTTAGTCCATGTTAATTTTGTAGAGGGACGGCTTAGGTAAATTCTTGTGATTCTAAGATTCTACTGCTAAAACAAATCTTTGATGGTAATCAATATCCATAGGTCTGTATGCATGTCGTTGATACGGTCTAGCCGTTTTATTTGCAACATGAACTTTATTTATATCTTTTGATTTTGATTATTATAAAGTACAAACCGATTTCCGTAGTAAATGAATTGTTATTGTTATTTGAGGTTATGAGTTTGAGCACCAAGAATAGGAGGGGCGTGAGCTTCAAATGTCAAATGGTTGAGATATTGTCATTTATATTTACCCGAGATTGATAAAAAAAATTATTATAAATATTGTTAATATTTTATTTTTTAGAATATTAGTAATTAGTCTTATTAAGTAAACATATTCAAAATTATAATAAGAGTTTATAACTATCATCGTAAATTAAATATGTTATTTGGATATTTTACTATAACATTGAAACTGTCACTTTAGATCATACGAGGACTATATAATGAAAAAAGTTATAAAAGCTCAATCAAAAGACTCGAACAAAAAATAGATGCAAACAATCTAACTGCATCGGTAAACCAACCAAAAAATGATATTAAGCTATTGAAAGAACGTCGAGAACCGCAAATCAAAATCGAGTATCATGAGAAACTATTCATGAATGCAAAATCGAGTATTCAAATTCAATCCAAGGGTACATAACATGGAAGTTCAAAATGACTACAAATAGACATCATCTTGATCAGTCGTGACGTTGTCAAATCTAACATTGATAAAATAAGAAATAAAAATGACTAAATAATCGAGAAAGATGGTTACAATATGTCAATTTGACCAACATTTTTCATAGTTGACCGTTACAATGCTGACGTGACAGTCCATAATGGTTGATGACATGAAGGATAACATGACAGATGGACAAAATTGATTTTTTTGTTTTGTTGAGGGTCAAAATGATTTCTTAAAGTTCAATGGTTTATTTAATTTAAAAAAATATTTTAAAATTTAAATATAAAATTATTCAAATATTTTAATAAATAAATAGTATTAAAAATAAAATTAAATTATTACAAAAATTGAACACTTGATTTCTAAAAACCCATAAAAACCCCATTTTTGAAAAGCTAAGCCTAACCTTGAAATTTATGGCTCTAATGGAAGCTTAGAAGATGAAGAATAGATTTTTTAGCTTGATTGCTTCAATCTAAGCTACGGGTAAACTACACTTTTAGCCCTTTTCCTTTATAACTTAAATTAAAAACATCACTTTGCTTGACTTTTGGGTCAACCTTTAAGCCTAATACCCTCTCTAAATGGTCCAAACTATCTTAGGAGATCTAATGGGCTCTATTGACAGATTTTGGGTTGACCGAAAGTATTGACCCGGATTTCGGAGCATTACAACGGAGGACCGTCGCTACATGGACCGTCCTTAGATGACTTCCGAGGGGTTGAGTTGCTGCTCTCTTAAGTTCGAATTTTGTTTCTTCTGTTTAAATATATATATAAAGCTACGTAAGAATACAAACTGACAAAACATATACAATTCACATGAATGTAAGCCATTGTAAAAACAAGCTGTCTGCTAAAAATGAAACAAGCCAATTACTATTCAGTTTCACAACATCCATATGGCATGACAGTGCAGGAATTCAAGTCTATTTCCCAGCTTAATAGTTAGTATTTAGTAAAAAAAAAAAAACTACATGTTCATGATTCAACCGTGATGTTAGCATTACTCGCCTCGGCGATTTTAGCAGGCGTAGCTTTTGTCGCCTCTTTTACCTGTTTTGCTCGATCTTTAGCCCTGCCAGCGACATTACCGGTCTGTCCACCAACCCGGCCTTTACTTTTTAACTCATTTGCAGTAGGGGATCGCTCAGTATGGTTACCTAAACTGTGACGGTGAGTCCGGGAGCAAGGTTTCGCCTTTTCGTCCTGAGATGAGCGGACTGCATCACCACAGCTATTTCTCCGGGTAAGATTTGGTGACTTTGGCCGAGTCAATGGCAGCTGAAATGAAATAAAAGCAGGAATGAAATGTTCCATTATCCAGTAAAACTGCATGAAACATATATAGCCAACACCGTATATTTCATCCATGTTCGAACATGCAACTCGAGGACTCAAGAAAAACAGGGAGAAAAGGTCGACAGGGAATACCTTCTTCAGTTCAACCTTTCGTGGAGGCCCTTCATAGTAGAAATCAGGAATCGGATTTGCTTTGACAACCATGCTCTTTCTAAGCTGTTTAAGGGCTGCTTCTTGCTCTTCCTGCAAGAAAGCAAGGAGGGCCATTTTTGTTAAATCTAACTGAGTCGTACATAAGGTCCAGAGATAAATGCCACCTACCTTGGTCCGGGCCTCGCAGTGGCTTCTCTCCGCCTCCAAAGCTCGGTGTTTTTCCTCTAACTTTTGGTAAAACTGGATTGATAAAAGAACATTTTGGATAGCTTGGTAAATGAAATACGGAATAGATCGACAACTGAAAAGGTATAAAAAAGAATAGGACTAAGAATTTACCTCCCTCCGTTTCTCAGCTCGTTCAGCACTTTTAAAAGATGGAGCAGATCCAATAGTTACCCTCGACCTTGCAGTTCGAACAGATGCAGCTGTACTAGATGTAGCTAAGGAAGAAATATGGTAATAGTGTTCGGGTAGGGAAGTCCCTCGATAAAAATAATAATAAAAAACTGCTACCAACAAGCCGATAGTACTATGCCGTAACACCAAAGAAAAGGATATGAGGAAGTGACGGACCAATTATCTTCTTCATCGGGAATCTTCCTGCCATATGGTTGCAATGGCTTCCTCGACATTGGAGGGGTCACCGGAGTGTATGGCTGAGAAAAATGGCAAAATAAAAAAGATCAGCACCTTACACATATATCAGCAAATAAGTGGCATCAACGATCCGAAACCGAGCAATTACGCTGATTTAGACAAACGAAGGAAAACCGGGCATGGAATAGGCATTAAAAGCAAACCGTCAACAGAATCGTTTCAATATGCATATCAAAATGACTGTAAACCACAGATAAAAATTTCATTTTGAAAGAAAATTCAACATTATCACTAGATTTCCTATCGGAAAATTCACTACTGCCACAAATGGAAGTCTCCAACTGCACATGAAGAAGCAGGTGCTTATCACTTTCTTACAGATCAGACCTCTTATGTAGAAAACTGCCAATCCTCCGAGTGTCAAAAACCGAACTATATATCAAATAAAGTGGATCACAAAATTTCACTCTTACTCAGGAATTGGAGTTACCTCTGAACCCTTCGTAGAAGTAGGGGAGAGTGTAGTGTCGACATTTGCGGTGCCATTTACGCCATTAGATCTCGATGCAGTCGTGTCAAACTCGTTGTCCATGGACTTGTGATCTTCAGCCTTTTCATTTTTCTCTTCAGGGATGTCAGTGCCAAAATTAGTGCTTTTAACACCCAGCAGTTCTTGCTTCTCATGATCAATCTCGATGACCGAGTTTTTTGCGGTGCATTCCTTGACCTCATACCCATTCGACTCTGTGCCTTTTGGAACTCTCGGATTACCGTTTGATTTCACCACCCCATTTGGCTTATTGTCCATGTCAGCATCTGTGAGTTCCCTCCTCATTACACTGCATTTGAACCAAGTTGAGCATCATAACAATGCGGAATCGGAAATTCTTGGCACGGAAAAGGCAAACTTCATTCATTTACCAAAAGATAGAAAGAAACTACAAGTAAACAGAGTAAAGGAAAAAAAGGTAACAGACAATTCATTTTCATATTATGTCGATATGCATACGATGTTTCATGCACTTAGATCTTGAACAAAGTAAACATCGATGGACGAATTACACCTTACCAAGGTACAGGCATTGAAAAATTGACTGAAACAGGCAATTTAAAGATGCTAAAACAAGAACTACACTAACAATGTCGAGCATTGCATGGTTATAAGAGATTTGAAACAAGATTCATACGTAATCCACAGACTGAAAACCCAAACATCAAATAAAACCGACATTTCGTGTAGATCGGACTCCGATCTGCGGCCTGAATTTCACATCTGAGCTAAAACATGCATCCTAGTAAAGATTGAACAAAAAAAAAGCTTTACATTCAGTGATATTCAACTTTGTCTCCTCCTAATGGGAAGCTGACAACATGCTCATCAAGTGATTGGATTCTATTTCCAGAGAATCCCTTTTTCTTTTCCAAGCCTTGCAATACTTTCACTTTGTTTCATCATTGGAAGAATCTAGAAAAATATTTATGGAACCTTCAACTACAAATTATAAGGAATTTAACTTTAGGATGCAAATATGTTCCATTTATTGGCAAACATTAACATAAAGAATAAAGAAAAATAAATAAAAATAGAAACTTTAGATTTAACTTAAGAGAGAAGGAGAGGAATAGATTTCCACAAATCCAACACTTTGAGACGAAACTGAGAAAACCCAGAATAGATAAATCCCAGATGGACAAATAAAAACCCAGAAATTCACCAAAAACTCCTCATTTCCTAGCAAACATTCACATAAAACAAACACAAATCCTTAATAAAAAAAACAGAAAGATGGAAAATGAGTTGAATAGATGAGCCACATTGCTCATTTTAAGACCAAAAACCCAAAACAAAACAAAAGATAATAACTTTGATACAAATAGTATATATCTCACAGGTTTTAGTAGCTTGATCTGATAAGATCTTCAAACCCTTCTCTTCTTCTTCCTCTTCCTCTTCTTCTTCTCTTTCTTTACAGTTTCTCTCACTCTGCTAACTTGGTGTGTCTTAGAAGCAGACAATGTGCTTTCTGTGATTTTCCTTT